TGTATTTCATTGTTCCCTTCTTTTAAATATTGTATTATAATAATAAAAATTACTTTATGATTTGTTTATGAATTGCATTTAATTCGATTTACGTTATACGTCTTTGGTTGCGAAATAGTTTTTTGTATTTACGTTTCCCGAGAAGTAGAGATCAAACTGCGCTTACTGTACACAAAGTAACGAGTTAAACGTAAATATTACCAACGTAGGTTTATGTTACGTACTCCATATTAATGGAGGTATTTCGATTTCGTGTTAGCGAAAGTTTTCAATTTCCTTTTTCATTAAAAACCAATCGTACGTTAAGCATTCAACTTCGATTACATAGTTCGTTAATACATTTTCAAATTGTTTGATTACTTTTTCGAATCGTTAATATAATTTCGTATTCCAAATTGTTCAGTTAAATTGGTTTTTAAATACGATTACGTTGAAACAATGTTTTGTGTGTTGTATTATAAGTTATTTTTTATAGGAATCGTGAACACTAGTCATCATCTCCCCTGCCTTATCCTACTCCCGTAGAGTCGGCGCACCGGGTTTTCATCCTCCAAAGCAATCTATCATCCGTCATCTTAGTCATCTCTCCTTTCTTGATCATATAATCCTGAACACTAGTATTAATGTAAAAACAACCGTTTTAATAAAATAAACCTTGTATTTTCATCTATTATTAGTAGGTTTACCCCTAAATATGTACCCTTACTTAGGATAGGCTGCAAGCCACTGAGTGGGGACGTAAAGTGATGATGTTGATTATATAAAAATATTGTAGACTAAATAAAAAAAAGCACTTATTTGTTTTCATAACAAAATGTGTTATTAATTTTGTAACTAACATACTGTTTTGATTAAGACTTAAAAAGTTAAGATACTTTTTGCCGTCAGATGTTCGCCGTCACATGGCGTACTATGGTTAACCTTTAATTACATTTGAAATAAGGAAAATTTATGTTATTAAGAAGTGGATTAAGTTTTCAAGTTATGTTTTACCTTCGTGGGTGATACCTTAATTTCATATTTCACGAAAATGATGTTTGCTAGGTTTGTTATTATTAACTGATATGTGACTAACAATTCTTATTATGACAAAAATTATATAAAAAACAACAAGACAAACTCTAAAAGATTTTTTTATCTAGTTGTATTTTTTTATTCTCCGCATTTTTGATCCGATTTTGCATTTATAAAACACTGGCTGTTGGTCGGTATTTCGTGTGCAATTATAAAAAAAAAACAGTAAAAACTCATATGTTAATCAGTGTTAACATAGCTTTTTAATGGTGAAAGTATTATTGAAATCGGCCTTTTTATAACATTAGTATCGATATAGAGTGTACATAGGTAGAGATTTATACTTATAAAATATAAACTATTGCGACAAATTCTAAATGTCTATTTATTTTCTTTCTTCGCGAATCACAGAGAATTGTATAAATCAAAGCATTTGAATTCCGTTATTGCACAGAGTAGAGTAAATCGCCTTTTCACCGGTACATGTGGGACCCGGCGTGTCAGCCGAGATAACTGGAAATATTTATTGATTTTCGGGGCCGCTACCCCACCGTAGGTCTACAGCGTCTTTGAACGCGTATCGCGCGTCGAGCCCCAGATGCGACCTCGGAATACGCTATGTTATTTGAAATAATAATGCCAGCCTAATCTTAACGAAATTTGCCCTTTAAAAATATTTATTTCCCTATATTGAAATCTACCGACTTTAGATATCGTCGGAGTATTTGCTGCGAAAACCAAAAGTAAGATGGTTAGATGTCGAACTACATGTTAAAAATATTGACATCAAGAGCTGGAAATGAAACGCCAAGATAGACATGAAGAAATTAATTGGACCAAACCCAGGCCCACCTGCGGCTGTAGTGCCTCTGATGATGATTTGCTACGAAATCTGTAAATGATAATTCTGCCATATTTCCTACTTAGGAGCACAGTATCAGTTAGTCTTCGAATCTCTAGTAGTCGTTATATCCGAATTTATTCACAGTATTCTGTGATAATTTGTCAAGTAGTAAATAAGAGGGTACTCATTTCTTAGTATCGTTTACAATACCCTTAGTAGTTAAGGGTTCCCTGAAAAATGATGTTTTATAAGGTCAGAGTCGTTATTGTTGGCTAGTCAATTGTAATGTCGCTGGAATGGCAGCTCTTAAATAAAGTACGTAGAGGTTTTCAATGTAATTTTATAATAAGACTTGCTGTTTCGCTGAAAAAAGCCAACAATTCATAGACGTAATCTGAGTAGGCGAAGTTAATGAAAATTGTAAAAATTAAATATTACAATTTAAATACAAATATATATTTGCATTTAATTTCATATTACGCTGAAAAGAATCAGTTTGACTTTTATTTTTACACAGAAAGTAATTTGTGAAGCTTAAATTGTTGGAGAGGTTTATTTAAACGAACAAGATGTAGCAATTGCTTCTCTTGCTTGGATTATATTTTCATAAATTGAAATATTCTTGTTTATCCGTTATACCACAAGGAGAGCTTTTAAATTTTTTTAAGCTTAAGCTCTTACTATAAAAATTAGTTTCAAGATAAAATACTCTATTCTAATTTGTACAAAACATAATACCATTTAATAGGTTTAAAATATCTTTACATTAACAGTAATAATATACTAAAATTGAATAATTCAAATTAAAATACGCTTGAACCTCCGAAGATAGTCTGAATGGAAAAACTTTATAAATTCTTTAAAATCTAGTGACATCTCTAAAATTGGCAGAGACTGTTTACTGGAATTTCCTTTTCAATAACACGGGTTTTTTTATGTTTTTATTTTTCCGAACCACCTGTGTGTCCTTTGTCGTTTAAAGAGAATAAAACTGTATACGAAAATAAATTTATATAATATAACTAAAAATACCGTACCAAGAATTTCCTAAAAGAGAAAAGTATATTTACATTAACTCTCTGTGTACTTAGGTAACTTAAACTTTACGACTTTGTCGACCCACGTATTAAACCTGCCAACATCTTATGTTAAAATTACTTGGCTACCGTCGAGTAAGCATGACTTTGTGTCTACTTGTTGCTTGTTTTCTGTTATGTTCTCGTACAAAAGTGATTCAGTGATCCGCGCCTAGCTGTTTTCAAAGTCAAGGCGCGATGATAGTTACTAAGAAGCCTTTCTCACCATCAAATAATTGATAAAACATTCAATTATGCTTGATAGCCGCCAGAATTTAGTTCACCGTATAAGCGCTTTCAGGGCGGGCGTACAACTTTGATTAAACTATCGCTCAAGTGTTGTGCGATTGTCGATTGTTACGCAGCCAATTCAACTGTTTGGTTGCACGACTAAATATAGAGTAGTGTGAGGACCTACTTATTATCTCATAGAAATCAAAGCGAGACTAAGGATGTGCGATATTTTAATTTCGGATTCGAGCACGCTCTTACGCCCGATAGAGCCCTGCAGAAATATCATACAAAGTTTATGTCGATATGAATACATTCTCGAATTGTTTCCTACTACGGCCTCTGTTTCCAAACGTCTCTAAAAGCTCAACATTAAACACTTCAGCCACCTGTGGCTGGTCCGGGCTTCTAAGTAGGTCACTTCATTACGTCACGGGTCAAGCCAGGGTTTGTGAGCAAAATGACATTAGCTGTGCCGCCAGCTTATATCCAAAATACTAATCATTGTTGAATTATATATATTATTATAACTATTCAGTAATCACGAAATATCTTACATTAAATGTGACATTCCTTTTTAATACATATTTTACACTAGCTTTCGGCCACGACTCCGTCCGCGTGGAATCAAAATATAAAAGCAAATAGTCTATGTGTTTATAATATTAGTAAGATAACATACGCTATAATAATCTGTTATTATTCAGATAGCTTTTTTAATTACTTACTTAATTTACTATTAATTGTTATTGTTTTTTTGGAATTATATTAGTCAGAAATAACTTATGTAAAACTAAATAATAATGCTCAACACAAAACATTGAGATAACGGACAGCTCAAAGCAAAAGCAGATCGAGAATCGTATTTGCGGTTAGTTTTCGGGTTTGAATCGCGGCATTTCATTTCTGCAAACGACAACGTCTACCTCGCGTCAATCATTAAGAACCACAAAAGTACAAATGCTTTCATAGAATGTTTTCACCCGATGCCAACGTACTCAAATATTAACAAAGTTAATTAAATCTTTTATCCAACTACATAGTAATGAATCTTAAAACCTTAATCGACGGAAAAAGAGACACATACAAATAGGATATGCGTCCCCTCCACCATTAAATCAACTTTTGTTCCCTTTCCCTTCCCTACCTTTCCTCTTAATAAAAGATTGGAAAGGGAAAGGGACCAAAATTAAGCCTCTGGCACCAAACTCAGACTGTACGCGGAATTCCTTCCACTTCACGCCTGTCTTCTGTGTGGTCGTGGTGCACCGGGCGAGCCGGCGTAACAGTGTGAAGATGTTAAGCAGATGTTAAATACTCATCACATTCTAAAGCACTAAATGGAGCAATTAAGTAAATTGATGACATAAACTAATATTGACGTTCAATTACGGGTTTACTGTAGCAAAAGTTTGCATAGAGCAGTCCAAAGGTAATTAAACGTTTAATTAAGGCACGGCAGAATTGATATTTGAATACGTAATGATAAAATTAAACGTTGCTTAACAAATCTGTAGTTTCTCTGGTATTGCGTATTACTATGAACATCATTGGGCTCTTTTGCCCCCTTATTTTATAAAAAAAAAACCATATGAATAACACGTAAGGCTACATTTGATAAAAATATGCACAATTCTTGGGTTATACTTGTTATTGTTCTTATAAAACCAGCAAGATATTTTTTTTATACCACGCAGACGAATTCGTATCGAGAAACGACATTCATTCAGTGTGGACATTAGTTAAGGCTTTACATTATATAGCGCCATCTATAAGCACCTAAACGAAATTGTACATCGACCTTTATTAACAGTGATCATTTCATATTGTTTTAGGCTCAAGCCGTGGTGATTCGCAGTCCGTGGACGCTGAATCCGTGTCACTTGCTAGCGCTGTGACTTCCGGTATGGCTACGATCATATCGAAGCTCAAGATCACCGGGTCCCCATCGCCGCCACCGCTAGACGGCAACCATATCCTGCAATTCTTCGAAGTGGGCGAGGAGTCTGCCAATGCTGGCCCTGGTCTGGTGTGGAGAGTGCATGATGCGTACAGGAAGAGCGATGGAAAGGTAAGTTGATAAAAAATCAACAGACAGCTGTCTGACATCAAAATAAATTGTAGATCTACCTATTTATTTGTAACGCATTATAACGAGGTAACTCGCCGTAAATTGATAGCAAACAATAATTCTCTAACGTCCGAAATTAATATTTGATCCTTGAGAACGGTCCGAAAATTACTTAATTATGTAACGAAGTACGAAAATTAAACGATTGCCATCTTAACAGTATTGTGAATATTTAAATCTAATTAACCGCATTCACAGCACTACGTTGATGTTTACACAAGCGATTTAGTCAACCGCTTTTAACACATCTCAACCGAGTTCATTCGAAGCCGGCAACAGCGTGTAATAACATTCCACGATGATTCCACTCCACTAAGCTAACAAACAGATTGCAGTTGGTCGGCTCTATTCAAACTCAATGAAACACGAACGCCACTCATTAGACGCTACTATTGCGAAGTGTCGAACGAATTTTATTTATAAACATCGATTGACTATTAAATGACACGATTTACAATAAAAAAATGGAATTGCATTAAATGTTAGCTTTTTGGTTTCTCATATAATTCCAAAGATCTGAAGCGAATGCTGGCTGTCTACAATTATATTACGCCGTAAATTTAATGAAACATAATTTATGTCATGATAGGAATTATTAAATACAAAATGAAATCCATTTACAAATTAAAGAGAATAAACCAAGCATTATGTAATATTTTATTTACCATCAGAAATGTCAATTTAGTTACTAAAATATTTTTATTAACTTTAAATTGTCGTGGTTTTTATAAATATAATGTTTGTAAGATACGGGTTTCTTACCACGATTGGGTTGTTTTACCTACCGATATTTCGGCACAGTTGCATGCGCTATGTTCATGGGGTGACTCAGGCAACAGCCTGTTCAATACTGAACAAGTATCTTACAATAATCACATTTTTTTTAAGGTTTGTTGAGATAGCGCTTGACCACGATCACTTAATAAATGAGATGAATTTATTTCATAAATAAATAAGTATGGCAATATTTTTAATTTTTTTCGAAGTAAGTGACCTATTGTTTCATTGATCCTTTTACCCCCCTCCCTTCTCGCTGTAGATGACTACAGCGAGAAATAGTAGTAAACTAGTGAATTACTGAAAACTTGAAAAACACATATTTCACAGAATTCATTTCGATCTTGGCATAACATCGTTATTCAAAACTTAAGTACGTAGACAAAGGTTTTGTTACAAAGGAGCATAATATTTAATTAAACGCTCGTATTTATTTTAACCCTCGAAATAAGAGGACCTATTGCTAACTATTTCAAATTAGGTCCCAAGCATTAATACAAGCCGACAACTGAACACTGAACTGTCGCAACGCTGCCCTCCGGGACAGGCTGAAAACGAACTCCGCATGGCTTATGCGGTCCACGCTGAGCCTGCAGCCCATTGTTGTCGGTTTAACTTTTTTTTATTTAGCTCATAAGAAACTGTTTTTGTGACAACAATAAAAGTCTTTATTTTTACAAGCGTGGCATCGATTAACACCAAAAAGGTTTTGACCAAACGAATTAAGATTGCCGACATAGGAGTATTTAAAGTACGTAAATAAAAACGCTTAAGAGATCGCGGACACCCCCATGACTAAACTATCGCACAACTATTAATTCTCCCTTTAATTTCTATAAGCTTATATGGAGGTGCGCATACTTCTCGAGTTTTACTTGTGCAACTAAACAGTTAAGTAGGCTGCGAAACAATCGACAATCGCGCTACAGTTGTGGAATAGTTTAGTCAAAGGTGTGCACCGACTCTAAGAAACTCCAAACTTTTTTTAACCGATATTTCAATCGGATGGGACTGTCAAGTCAAGACACATAATACAAAATCAATGTGCTTACATGTTCATACTGATCTAGCACCCGACTAAACTATAGGCCAGTTTGTAGTGTGCGAGGGCACTAAGTTTACAAATATAAGGTAGTGTTAGATTTTGATGGGCCTTTTAATATAATTTAGATTCTTTGTTTAAGATGTGAGGACGATAAATTAACCGTGTCACTTGCCGTGTGCTTTTATTGATTATTGGAGCGTATGCCGTAACTCTGACCTATAATGGGGCGATTGATTAAAAATATACACTTTCACGTCTATAAAAACCATAAAAAAAACTATATTTTATGTCCGGAAAGATTCAACGTATACGCCGGGTTAAAAAATTCCATGTGAGCATAAGATAAAAGTGTGTTGGAACATTATTCCAAGGAGCTCAAACTACGAAGTAGCAGATATCCTTAATGGTACGAAATGTTGCTCTTTGAGTTACAAGTTTTTTGAAACTCTCAATTTTAACAAAGTATCTACTCGTCTAAAAAGTTACTCCTCTTTATCAAACTTGCACAAGTTCTATAATAGGCCACATCTATATTTATACATATAATAAATCTGTGAATGTCTGCACGTTCAGCTTACTTCCATTTCTATGTATAATTTAAAAAAAAAAGTTCTATCAACCATATTGAGTTCAGTGTGGATTGGTTGAATGCATTCGTCATTGACACTCTTAGAAGACTGACGCTCATGACCGTAAGAAAATCGGTTACATATAAAATTTAAAAACGAAATCACTTATACAGTCACGGATATCCGCGGTGCACCACTTTATGCAAAGAAACAAACTCCGCTTACTACAAATAACTAATTAGATAGCAGGGAGTGCTGCAAAGGAAGGTAACTATAACCATAACTTTAGTTTCTTTTTATTATTTATAATATTATAATATTTCTTTGTTGCCTAAGATGTCAGCAATTACAGCATATATCAAAAAAATATTTTTTTAATAAATAGCCTTACACTTGCGTCACGCTTTAGGCTATATATTTTAACACCCTTAAACTTAAGGGGTAACTATTTTGGATAAAAACCTAATGTGGGAAAGAGACCATAAGTTGCTACCAACATCAAGAAATAAGGATTGCTAAGGTTTGTCATGTTATGTCATTTTGACATTTGCAATTGATAATTTGACAAATGTAAACAATACAGTAAAATTTTCATAATTTCATGCGGATGAAGTCGCAAGGGAACAGCTAGTTATTAATAAAAGGAGACGTTTTAAACGATTGTAGCTTTTTAGGTTGAACAGCGCCTGTTTCCCGGATTGTACATCCTGTGTTTCAAACCCAGGGCCTGTAGATTATTGCTCCACCAATGCTCTGATAATTCAAAACATAGTAATAGAATTAAAGGCGGTATATTTACATGTTGGAAGGTTCGCCGCAGAGCACTATCTCGGGGATTAGTGTCTATTGAAATTAATTAAAACTTGAGGGATCGGGATCTGTCTTGCGGTTGGTGAAAACTAAGTAATGTATAAGTACGAATCGAGTTCAACACAACCTTGTTAGTAGGTATTTAAATGCATCATGCATTAAGTTTCTTTTCTGTTAAAACTTTTTAATGAACATGACAAAGATAAACTTTATAAGTTTATGTTCCACCTCGTTTAAGCAGAAAACTTGCTTGAGAAAAGCATCTACATATATTGCAATTTTTAAATATAATAAATTTCCATGTTATTGAAGAGCTATAAAATGTGTAGAGGCGCAATAAGGGTATATGAATTTGGGTCAAGGACACAATATCTCATAACCTGGGATGACGTCATCCATTAACATGTCACATCTTTAGATCATTACGTTCTCAATGCCGCAAAATTCAATTTAGCATACCGTTTTTTTGTATTTAATCTTTTTAATATTACGCACTTTACATACATCTATTTGATGAAATACAAGAAATTATATTGAAAGTCATGTAGATGTTACATACATAAGAATGTGGGCGAATTTTAAGTTAGGGTTTTTTGGCATTTACGGGCGACAGTACTTTGTTTTTTTTTGTCAAGTCAATTTCGAAAGTGGTATTAAAGATAGCCTAAATGGTTCAAACTTTAAGGTTAAATAGAGGTGAATCTTAATATACTTTTACTAAAATTATTTTATTGTTTCCAATAACTGTCCAAGTCTTGTCATTGTTATAGTTCGACTTTGCTTTAATAAAATTTTCTACTGATTGAAATGTATTTCACCGATTATTTACAATACTAACATCTGCCTACGATATTCCAAATTAGTTAGGTCAATTTACTTAACAAAGTTTTTATTAGTTTGTTCTATGTTAAGTTATTATGTTGTATAACTTACTTTCTTAAGTAAATACATTCAAAGGTAAAATTAAGAAGTTTATAACTTCTTAAGTAAGTTTATATCTTGAATAATATTGAGTGTTCGGTAATAAGTTTTGCAAAGTAACGTTAATACTTACTGACTTTTAATTATTATTAATCTTTATATCGTTTTTTATATGGAATAGCTTTTGAAGCTTTTAATTTTAGAAAAACCTTTTAAGAGTCAACATCACATCTACGTATTTTTTTTAATAGTGTTATTAATAAATGGATTTGTCGGTGCATTTTGACATGAGGTGGCACTAAACTTCAACTAACATAGTACTTTTCAAAGTTACCGGTGAAAAAAATTTATTTCCATATTTACGTATATACATATATATTTAATACCTTTGTGTGTAATAAAACAAAATTCGTGGCTGTTCTTTGATGTTGAAGGAAAACAAAATTGAATGTCGAGGGTAATTTATTTCCTAATTACCCAAGAGAGGAGGACCGTGTGAATGAAAAATAGTCTTGCTCTTTATGACTCTCACAAACAGGCCACCGTAATCCCAAATGAGAATATACGTAAATGACTTTCTGTATAAAACCAGGGTACGGTAAATATTGTGATGCTATAATAACTAACGTATCATTGATTGTAAATAATATAAACATAAAGTGCTGCTCAATTTTAACTGAACAAATGAACTATAGAGTTGAAACGTGTACCTAGAACAAAGTTCTCTTTACATATTTATACCAATTATCAAGTTAATTAGTTTCATGATAATGCTACATAGAGTTTAGTTCATAAACAGAATGTTATACTCACGGACACAGAATGTCACACTCTATTTGAACATAATATCGAAATAAAAGGTTGAATACGGCTTTCTAGAGTATTTCACATATCTGGACGGTATAAACCAATTTAGGATGATCCACACCGACACTGCCTCTTTTTGCCACATGCAAAAAGAGGCAGTCTTATAATTAAAAAACCATTGGATTCATTTTTAATGTAAGGCTTTCACTATAGCGAAGTTTACAATACATTTTCCCTCATTCATCAATTACAAAGAAGTGTTCATTCGTCAATTAGCTTTGAAGTCTATTTCGGATTATCCCACCTAAAATACTAATGATGTTAAATATAAATGATTTACTGCTTCCCTAAGATATATTATAGGTTACTTAAGCAGTTCCCTAACAGCGTGTGCAGACGTAAAACTAAACTATCGCACAACTGTTTTGTCACCCTTTGATTCTTATGAGCTTATATAGAGGTTCGTACACTACTGATTTTTAATTCTGGAACTAAAAATCGAGTATAAAACAGTTGGGCTGCGAAACAATCGACAATCGCACAATAGTTGTGCGACAGTTTATTCAAAGATGTGCACCCGCTCTAATATGGATTTCTTTCAGTAAATCTATCGTGTTTGTTAACAGGAGTGTTCGGTCTTCGTGTTCGATAAACGCGTAGCTGAAAAGTTGTACAAGCCGAAGCGCAGGGAGACCATGATTGAAAGGATCCGTTACAGCGTCATTCAGCTCGAGAAGATGCGTAACCCTAAGATGCTGCAGATCATCCACTCGCTCGAGGAAAGCAACAATACCATCGCGTTCGCGTCTGAGTCCGTGTTAGGCAGCCTCCATAACATTTTGGCATGGCATGTAAGTAAAGTGTTTACATCTTGACATGAAGGCATTTTCAGTACTGACTTTACCGATAGTTTCTCTCAGCGATCACCCAACTCGGTCTAGTCTACGGTCACTCGGTCTTGGTCTACTCAAAACACAACCTCCATCTGTCTATCTGTAATCTGTTATTGCATGTATAACCTAATCCGATCTGAGCCAGAAACTTTCGAGTGGAGCTCCTGTGAGAGTGATGACGTAAAAAGTGTACAAATTCCATAAATGCGGTAATGCAATATTTCGCCAATCAAAGCGAAAGAAGTATTTGTCAATGTCAGTAGGATAAATATTTTTTCTTTACATGTTCCTTGTAACTCGGAGAAAAAAAATTCTATTCTTATTAGTGTTTTCTTTTACCAAACAAAATGTTAAGGTAAAGAAAGAATAAGTTAAGCTTTTCACTTTGTTTGTAGAAAGGAACGATATTGTATTGCTTGAAGCTTACGAGAAAATCGGATTATTGTTGCCGAGATGTCCAGATTCAAAGCTTTAGCAAACAAAGACTATAAGTACAGACATCGAGTGTATTAATTTTTGAAATGAAATGTTAAGTAATTAATTATATTTGTGATTTTTTTTTTAATGTCAGTCAAAAGATGATACCATTTATCACGATCTTTGTGGTAAACCTTACCACAGTAGACATAAAACCATCGCCTTCCAATTTCCCTTCAAGTTAAAAGCGTGTAGTTACTTCTAGTGCAATATCACTAAACAAGCAAATGCTACCGGTATAACGGACTTATATTTCATTATCACGCATTTTGTTTAGGAGATGGAGTCTATAACGGTGAACGGACTTCCGCCGGTTATGCCCTATCCATTGAACCTTGGGCCGCCTGGTTCACCGCTACCATCGCCGACGGATTCTTCGATGCGCCCTCCCTTCGCCAAGGAGTACTACTTCATAGACTTGGAGTTGCGTTACGGTCTGCTTCAGGTAAGTGCGTTTTATCAATTTTTAAAAATACAAATAAACTAAATGTAATTTTCTAGAATATATCTTTAGAAATTTTTTTGCTCAATGCCCTTAGGGATAAGAGATTAACGTCGGCGAGCACATTTACAACCGCAGTGACCTTCGCTTTGATTTCTTAAAATGTTTCGATATATAACTGGAACCGTAATGAAACAATCTTCTTAAAACATTTCATTTGTTTGATTTTCAAAAACTTTGACTTGATTGTGCGCTATTATTGTACTAGTTATTTCATCATCACCAGCTCATTATATGTCCCCACCGAGGGGCTCGGAGCCTACCCTAAAGTTAGGGTGACTAGGCCATAGTCAACCACGCTGGCCCTAAGCGGGTTGCTTGACTTCACACACATCTTTGAATTTCTTCGCGATATGTGCAGGTTGCATCACGATGTTTTCCTTCACCATTGTTTATTATCTTTTAAATATTGTTGGAGCTCTTCATGATCTGCAGCTCAAAAAGCTTTCAAATACTACTCTAACGACACAAATGTACATTATGTACAGTCGGGGAATTTGGCGATATTCCTCCAGTATAGTTGTTTAAACTTTTACACACATTGAGGTAACGACACGAAAATTGTTCCGATGGGATCCAACTTTTAAATGTGTTAGTACGAAAATAAGTTGGTCGGTGGTACGCGGCTAACTATTTTTTTTACTATCCTGTCATTCGTTCAATTCTCTGATGCAATGTTGGCTTATTTGTTAGAAAAAGCAGAGTTTGTCTCGTTTTGTCAAGCAATTTTTCTGTAAGTGGTACACCGCGGATTTTCGCAATTGTACATTTGTACACCGCTTTCACTTTTAACTACATGTTATTCCCAAAGTTATCATCATTTATACGCAAATAAAGAGTTATTAATGTATGTCAGATAGGGGCTTGATTGTAAATGAATTGGTTTTCGTGTTACTTTTGTTGGCGCGTAGCTCCCAATAGCTGACCCGACGCGGCCCAATTACAACTGGGGCTGTCACTCAAAAGAATTTATTCCACGTAATCTCGAGTTCCAACATTTCGGTTAGCTTTCTACGCGATGTTCAAATCAATGGAAATCGAAGCTGCTTTTGATTGTACAAACCCTTTCATTTCGTTTATAATAGTGAATAAAGTTGCTATTATTATATCTTATAAGATTTTTTTATTGTTTTAAATGATGTGCTTAATTAAACGGAACTTTAAATTGATTTATATTATTTTTTTAAATAACATGAGAACTCACACTAACCGAGAAGGGTAGGCAAAGAATACTGACTTTTATTTAGCGCGGTCTTAGCACACTCCTCTCACCTTTTTCATATTATCTTAATACCTACGATATTCATCAATCTGTACAGTTTGTCTGTTCATTTTTAATGTCTACACTTTTGTGTATATCTAGATCATCGAAGCTCTGCATTTCTTGCACTACACGGTGCGTCAGATCCACCGAAACATCTGCCCCCAGGTGATAATTGTCACTAAACGTGGCACTTGGAAACTCTTCGGCCTCGAATTTGTGGGTAAGTTTCAATAACCTATATTATTTTAACTACCAGCTGTCGTCCGCAAGTTACGTTATCGGAAATTTGGTCTACCCGTTACGCTATTTTGTCAGCGCGGTATTAAAATAGGTAACCTATAATATGCTTATCCATGTCAGCTACTAGATTTTGCTGCATTACAACTAACTTAAAATATACCCAAGTTCATAATAGTCAAATGGCAGGATACGAAGTTACGACCATGTGATCGGTAGTTCGCTGTCATTTATCACTAGGATATTGGGGCCTCTTTTCATAAACGAAGCCAGCAAAGGACCGTCAGAAATTTCAATGTAACGTAATTAGTACAACTATGTACACTTTCACTCAAAATATTTTAAGTTCAAAGAAACGATGGAACACTTTGATCTTGTACATTTTTCTATGGCTTACTAAATACCCTTGTAGTCTTTTCATTTCACATTTTATAGGTAATAATTAATTATAATCAGATTAGAATTTATTCATTAGAATAGAAATTTATTTTTCAAATCTAATGTTAACAAAATTAAAATTTTGTTTTATTTCTAAGAGTGTACGTATCATGATTACCATAACAGTATATCCATAAATAGATTTAGTCAAAGTTTTAAATAACATTACTAGTTAAAAATTGTCAATGCTTCAAAAATTCTAACGAATATGGGCACGAATAGAATCGCGTTAGGTGGGTAATTTAAAGTGCGTATAGCTAAAGCCCGAGGCTTCGCTGGGATGGAGGATCAAATTTTGATTACGTTGAAATTTATATCAAAATTACTTGATACTTGTGAGATATATGCGATTAAATTTACGCTACGTCAAATTAAACAATTAAATCGGCCGAAGTTAATTAAATGTAGATTGATTTTAACTCCTGTTCATATAGTTACGTCTTTATTTTTTGATGTAATAAATTATTATAAATTGATAACTGACCGAACTCATGTGAAAACGTGCCTCAACGTCATGTTCTGTTTGAGAAGAGCGTGCGAGCGAGAGCGCCGAACAAGCGGTAGAGAGGCACGCTTTACCGAAGCGTTAGGCTTATTGTTCGTTCACTTTTTTAAGAAAATGTAATTCATACAGAGGACATTACGGGCCCCGATCCGACTGATATGGTTCCTGTGGCGCCGTGGTCCATAAAGATTGCTAAGCTCTGCCAGCCGAACCTGGACTTCGTTGGTAATTTATACATTTCTTTTTTTTAACATATAAAACTAATGTTTATCTCTTACTAGCTTTTACCCGCGACTCCGACTAAGAATTAAAAAAAATCAAAAGTGAGCCTATGTATTCTTCCAGACTATCCTCTATATACATACCAAATTTCATCGGGATTCGTTCACACGTTTACGCTAAGAAACATCCATCCATCCTTTCCTCTTACGGACCCGTAACTAATCTCTACTTACCTAATGCCATGTGTACACGACGGTTTTAATAAATGAAATTTATTTTTGTAATAGCTCCCGAAATGCAGACTAACGCGCATTGCAACATATTATCGGATATGTTTTCGCTGGGTCTTGTCATCTGCGCCATCTTCAACAGCGGCAGGTCTTTGATCCAAGCCAATAATAATCCAATACTCTACATGAAGCAGATGGACTTCGTAAGTGAAATATAGGCAAAGATGTATCTAAGACTAAAAATAGAACAAGACAATTTTTATACGTACTATATAGTTTAAACTATCGTAAGACATTACTATAAGCGAAACATCACGCCTTTATCCTCCGGCAATGGCATGATAAAGGCGTGAGTTGAGCCGTTTTTTAATTTTCACTTAACATACTATATAGTCTACCGTATTTCCAAGGATCAGAACTTTTAGCGTGGACTCTAACACTGTTAAATTACTTATTAAATACTAAACATATAGAGTTACATTTTACTGAAAATATTTCCTTTGTTAATGGCCATTATACATGTCCAACGACAACCCTTATTAATGATTTATGTGGCGAGAAACTTTGGTAACATTAACCTTTAGCATCTAACTTTCATAGTTAACGACGAATTGCAATTAGTAAAGAACTTTCAACATTATTTATTACTTTAATAGTTTCGTCTAAAAGCTATATATCTTTGTATAATAAAATAATTAATAAAATCCATCTTTTAAGTACATAATTTGAAAATATTTTTTTTATACAAATCGATAAGAATGTAAATTATACCAATGGTACGATCTATCGACTTTTTGCGCTGTATAGTTGGAGCAACAAGTGGATGCGGTACTGCCTCGCTTGCCGGGTGGTCTTCAAGAGGCAACGCAGCGTCTGCTCTCAAGGGACCCACACCCTCGACCGACGACCCAACTCCTTCCGCTGATTAAATACTTTAAGTAAATATAACGGGTGTACTAACAAACTGTTTTAATTAATTAAAATTTAAGAGCAAAAAATTTAAATTTTCTTAATATTTGATTAGGTTAACATTTCGTATATATATTCAAGTATAAAAAAATATTCGACTCTTGACTAGTTCAACATATGTTACAAGAATATATCACCGTTTTGTCGCTCAGATGCCAGAACGAGCCGGCGATCCAAGCGATGCAGTTCATTGACGTCATCACCATGAAAGATCCAAGCCAAAAAACCAACTTCTATAACGCCGTGCTACTAGAAGCATTACCGTACATTCCGAAGGTACTAACTCCTTCTTTAAACTTGTTACTTAAATTGCGTTAAATCATAATTACGGCCTTGTACAGTAAACGTGTCACTTCTTCATCACCACAAAACAAATTTTCTTCATTGATAATCGCTTCTTTCCGATTGACTGATGACCTTGTTACAGAAACTCCGCTGGCAACATATTTGGCCGGCGCTACAACTGGAAGTAAGGACTGCTGAGGTGTTGGGGCCTGTACTGCGGCCCATTATGTGGCTCACTAATGACGCCACACATGAGGAGTTTGAAAACCACGTTCTTCCCACGCTCAAGTAAGTATTACAAGATACCCGATTCCAGGATTGTGATTTGTAAGGATTTAATCCCTTTGGATAATTAGAAACGTGACGATTTGAACTGAGTTTCCTCATTTATAACTAAGAAAAAATTTACACAAAAGCACATAGATTTAGACAATAAATATCTATCGCAGTAAATGGACCGATGATCAGTAGAGGCTCATATTTGTATTGATTTAATGAGAAATTATAGAAGTTATATGTCAAAATAATGAACTATGTACTTTCTTTCTCGTAAAATATTCCTTTCGATAAAAATCTAGCACGGTCGGTAGAGAATTACCCATTACTTTTTGGTTGATTGAGTTTCAAATGTACTTAACATTTACTGACGCATCTTTTTTGTGACGCATCAAACTTATTCTTTTTTTACCACTTTGTATAGTTTGCCTTTTATTTATACATATAATATCATTTTCAGTGTCGGCGTATAATTTCATATCTTCTTTACGTTCTAAATCACAATGTTTTTATCTGCGTACTCAGGATTTACTGGTAAGTATTAAGTACTGTTCATTACTTACATCTATTAATTAAAAATCTGTTTACATTTTAAACAACCATTTATTAATAGTTAACTCTGAATAAAATTTACGTTTATTATTACATTTGTTGCTTCTTTACTAGATAACCCTTTGGAATCGATTACGTTTGATTTTTTTTTTGTTTAAGCATTTTTTAATATTGCACTTCACCTCTTTACTGTATTACATTATTCCTATGTTATTACATTCCAACTATGAACTGCTTAAAGCTTGTATGGGGATCGATAGATTTATTCTTTTACCGAAAGATTTGATATAGAAGAGAAACAGTTACCTCCACAGGAATCTGATGAATTCGCCGAAGAATTTGGAGGCTTCTGTACTGCTGTTAGAGAGTATGCACGTAATTTTTAAGAAGTGCCAAAAAGATGTAATCAACGATGAGTTGATGCCACTGCTGTACAGCTCGATGGATCATAACTCCAACCAGATCCAGGTAACAGAAACCTTGTGATTCCTCTTAACATCTTAGCATACTTTTATATCCATTGTACATACTTAAACAGTGATAGAAATCCTTGTTTTTGTCAAGTTTTCTAGTTAACAAAATCAGTACTATCATCATATACCGTTTAAAGCCGTGATTTTTGTCACACCTCTGTTAGTTTTACTCTGGATTAAAAGAAAACGTCGTACAACTGGAGGGGTTAGGCTGAACTGCTTAGTTTCTTTATTTAATATTGTTTCGTTTATTACTCTTACTAGACGTCGTGTATGATGGGCCTACTGAATGTCACCGAATACATCGAAGAGGAGGATTTACATTCCCTTCTCTTGGGCAAAGTGAAAACGGTGATCGAAAAGAACAAGAGTGATGTTAAGGTCATCAGTTTGACCCTTGGGTTTTACGAGAAGGTTCTCGGTAGACTTGAGACGAGTGACATCGTGGACTACCTGATCCCAACTATACTCGCCATGCGCTTAAGTGACCCGGACATTATCAACCGGGTTGTCAGTAAGTACATTATGTTGGACACAGCACCTTATTATAATAATTTGTTTTGTTTTAATTCATGTTCCGAAGCGCATTCATGATTGCTGCGACCTTTAACACGTTGTAAACGTTTTAATACTATTTTATTGCCTATGCCCTTTTGTGTGTAATTTAATAAAACCTTCGTCAGTTATCTAAGCTTGGCGATCATAGCATATGCAGTCTTGTATAACAGCGCTGCGAAGACATGTTTTAAATTATATTTGTCGCGGTATCTGTACCAAATTAAAAAATGGGATGTGGCAAGGTTAATTTTAATTCCAGAACTTTATAAGGCGATCCTAATGGAAAAGAAGTTTGGATTGACCCCCGACACATTGGCTACCCAATTGATACCATCCTTGGCACCGCAGACCATCAATCCTGGATTGAGTATCGAACAGTTTACCAACCTTATGGAGGTAGTAATATCTAATTTAAGTTACAAAACGTTTTATCACGATGTTTATCTATGTTTTAAAAAATAGACTTTAGGTTGTTAAAATACTATAGATTAAATTGACTAAAAACGCCAAATAAAATTTCAACTTTAAATTTAAAATAAGGTGAAAGATATTTGTTTCAGTAATTGAACATATAAATGTAACATTGTATGTTGTGTATTGCGATATACAAAAACTCACAGGTGAATTTCCAAGATAACAAAAGTTTTACGATACTATAAAAGTAACGTTTCATGGTTATTTTCTAACTCATCCTCTTTGCACTGAGCCGATTGAAAAGTAAATATATTAAAAAGTTAAAATGTTAGGTATTAAACAAGTCACATAAGATATAGATAACTCAGTTATATATGAACGTTGTTCCTATAGATATTGTATGACATGCTGGACAACATTGACAAGAATCAACGCCACAAATTGAGAATGGATGGGCGTGGCACCGGGAGCCCCGATCGTCACAGGGCCCTCCGCCATCAGATGAGCAATGAAAACATGATCGCCCCGCCGTTTAACATACCCAACCTGCGCGTGGAGAAGCGCAAGACTTCTAGCGCCGAGGACATGGCGCGTAAAAACTCCGCCAGTGGCCCCAGCCCCATCAGCGGCATCGGTGCATTCAAGAACAGATTCACCCTGGGTAAGTTCATTTCTTTACAAATTGTTTTTTTAAATATTATGAACGATTACTTCACCCTCACAGGTAAAGGCATCGGACAATGGTTCTTCGGATCCAGCAGCACGGCTAACAATGATAACAATTTCTTGCGCGTCGGCAACGCTTCGCCCAATCGCCGTCTATCGGATAACACACTTATGACGCCTAAGATTCGCATTGCGCCATCTTGCTCATCGTCTCCGGGCGGGACCCCGGGCGGCAACAGCTCGGGCCTGCCTACACGGCGCCACTCCAGCATTGGCCCCCAGGAACGTCGTGCATCTGCCGTTAATCTATCGCCGCCAACCGTAAGTGATGATAATAATTTAACATTTCTAACGAAAGATTTACAATTAACAACAAACTGACACAACACCATTGGACACATTAGGCAACGCGTAGATGACGGTGTACGAAAGGTACGGAGTGTTATCGTTAATAACGGTGAAGTGACGGTATTGTTTTGGCAGGGCTACCAGATCAGAGGACGTGGTGGTTCAGGCTCGAGCCTGTCAGTGCCGGCGAGTTCCCGTGCTGTTGTAAGTTAAGCCACTCGTGCGTCTATCCGAAGGAGCACTGTCGCTCAACCCTCTATTGAATGTCGAGTTGAACGGCTTAGCATTTTATGTGGTCTGTCCTCTTTTGCGGTTGCGTCTTCTTCCCAAACTGACAGGGAGAGATAATGTCTCATCAATCATATTTTCATTTCACTCGTACATTTGCACGAACCCGGTTGGCGTTTGTATCACACGTTTCGAACTCTGTCTGTCTGATCATGTCCCCTCATCACATTACATCAACGCTGTCACATCTAACACCTGCGTCATCATAAAGAAGTGATGCATGCCCAGTAACTGCCAGTGATTGCACTGATGCATGAGCGCCTCGCGATATCCTACATATTCCTCCGAAGTCAAGGAGTAAATGTAACCGCATCATTTAAAAACAAATGCAACTCGCCAATGGCGATTACAATTTTGCCTTCGTGTCGTCGATTATCTGGTCTTCTAAATTTGGTTCCTTTACCCAATTGGCTATTTGGTTATTTGTTTTTCGAAATTCCTTTCTAGTTAATAACACTAATAAAAATACATCTTCAAGATTAGTATAATAAACAGTACCGATTGCTACTACGATCATTTGCATTACACAGGCCGAGAAACATCTGTCAACGTTGTAAGTAGAAATAAAAAAGTGTGCGTTCATCATCATTATTGAAATGGCTTTAAGCCGTAATGTATAACGCTGTCTCATTCACTGTTGCTATTTGTTCTTCTATGCAGCTTGCACGGAGCATGATCGTGAGTATGACTCCCCTTCTACATGTGTCAGGCTGAGCGGTTTCTACTTCTATCATTTCTCTGATCACTTTCGTAATCTCACGCTAAGATGTTGTCAAATTCACTTCATTTAACTTCACATATTCTGAATCAAATATTGCAACGGTTTTTATTTCATTTTTAAAAACACACTTCTGTTGAGAGTAAATTTGAATATTTCGATAATATTCCGCATGTTTATAACAAGAATGATTTTATCCAATGTCTAATGAATATATTATAAACAGATAAGTATGTAAGGTTTAGTAATAGTAGTCACTTAACTAGGCTGGACTATTTTATTTTCATCACGTCTTCTTAATTTCTCGTTCGGGTTTCCATCCACCAATTCCATCCAATGTCTATTTAAAAATGATTCTCATTTTTTACAATAAATCGACAACATCTAAGCGATAATGTAGGAGGTAAACACACATCACACATTCCATCAATCGTGCTTAAACAGAAGGATGAGACAGTGTTTAGCATGCCGTAGAAGCCCGACGCGTTACAATGTGTTGCTACAAAACAGGTATGAACATTACATCAGCAATCTGCTTACGCCACATCATCATTACACTGCTTGATTTGATATTTTTTAGGCTTTTATAGCATGTAACAATTTACATAATACAACTATACTTACAATCTTTTTTTAAAATTTTAACAATTAAACTTTTCTATTACTAACTAGTTTTCACTATTCAATTTCAGGATTCATTTTTCTCTATCTGCGGACTTACCACTGACTAAATTAATTTATTTTTTATTTGTTTAACTATCTTTATACTTTCAACCTTCTAGCATATTCCACAACGAAGAGACAGTGACGAGAAAAGTACCATCCTCAAACGGTTTATGAACAGAGTTTTCGGCCGTGCTAGCCTCGGCGGCAGGTGCACGGGCGTACACCAAGATCATATGGTTTGAAGACAAGACAACGCTGTTTTATTTACAATTTAACCGAAATGTCATTCAGTTAAACCGATACAAAAATCACATCAAGCATATTCAATAATTGTTCCATTTTGTACAGATTTTTACAGATTTTTAGATCAATATCAAAACTGGACACATTTAATGATATACATTTCATGTCTTTTTACATCTTTATTTCTTTCATGGTTTTCTTTTTTTTTTTTGACATGCTTGATGTTATATCATCTATTGAACGATTATGATTCTAAATAATTCTCTGTGGTATAACTAGGGAGGTTCCATGCCGAATACGTCGTCGAGCGTGCCGTACTTGCTGACCTCATCAATGCAGTCGATTCGTTCGCGGCGACCGTCGTGCGCTAGCGGGAGCGCAAGCGCCCAGGGCGGGTCCGGCATCCTGCAGCAGATCAGCAGCGGGGTGGTAAGGCACCTCCCCATAGGATCGCACCACAGCATGCAGGCGCAAGTGCACGCGCCCCTCGGCGTGTTGCAGAACGCCACCGCCGCCGGCTACAACGCTCTGCAACAGACCGCAATGGCCGTGCGCAAATGCCCTTCACTCAACATTACGCTCACTCGCTAGATTGCCAGCGCAAGGATTCTTCGCGACACTCATCCGTAGCTGCACCGACTAACCTCTCGTATAACTTCTTTATTATTTCTTCGGCAACGGCGATTTCCGGCCCGTCTATTCTTTAGTTAAATCTATGTTGTTCTGGTAATCGCCCATAAGATTTATTTGCAATTAATTTTAATCGACTATGTATGTTTAATTTACATGTGTTGTGTAAATGAATTTATTTTTAAATAAAAAATAATTTTGATTATGTATACGAAATGGCTATCTACATAAAAGACACAATTGAGATTTAAATTGACTAACGGAAAACATATCAGTAACATCATTTTCTATAGCTACACAAATATTCTGCGAAAATGGTCTTAATATCAATTTAACAGGCAATTGCATTATATCTCTTAAACGGTCATTTAAATTGGAGTTTTGGATATTTATTTTAAACTTTAAGGCAAATCACCTTTAATAATTTCCTACAAGAAGGATTAAACGAAGTTGAACTGAGTGAAAATGTTTACTAAAAAAAATAACCAGTAATCAAATCGTAAAAATAATTTTAATCGTCATTATGTAAAATCGAAAACGTTAAATACGATGATACAAATCTTATAATGTTGATTTTAAAATGTGCCAAAAACCACAAAAATTAGTACACATCGACGAATGTTATGGCTCAATATAAAAGAATAAGGGGGCTTTTAACTGCGAGCACTTTAATTTATTTGAAAGGCTTACTTTGCGCTCGTAAAACATGAGAGTGAAATACTGTTTGTTAAATGACAATGAAAACGTTCATAAAGTTCAGTTATACTATATTAAAGCAGCAATATAAATTGAACAATAATCCCCCTGTCGGATAAGGGTAGGCAACGCATCTGCAATTGCAGAGGTCTATGGGCAGCAGTTGCTTCGCCCTTTTGGCGGATTCAGGTGGCCGCTTGCTCTTTTGCCACCTTATGTAATAAAAAAATCAATTTAATTGTTTCTACCATTTTAAATTCATTTTATTTACAAAGTAATTGTGTATGACACATTGATTCAAAAATGCCTTATTCCTATTTTGATTAACTGAGACCCAAAAGTTTGAATCTTTATCAACTTAGGGTTTTATTAAAGTAACAGTTCGAAAAATGTTTATTACCTCTTTTTTCTTTCCAATAATAACAATCTATGCTACTTTGTTAATTTATACAACTGTGGCATAGGTTTAATTGCTTGTATAACGTAGTGATGTTTATTAAACGAAAATCATGATACATTTATGACGAAATGTCAACTTACATCTCAAGTTACTTAGAATGTAATTTACCCTGTCACGTAGAGAATTTAATATTTATACTGAAAGGTGGAAAATACTTGTTAATACATTTTCTATCAATATCTATACATATTTTATTACACGTATATATGCGTGTTATATTTTTAAAACAACGTTCGTTTCCAAGCTCAATATTGACTTAAAAATTACAATTGGGCACAATACGTATCAGTATTGACTTGAAAAGTGCAGAACTATTTATTTTGATGCTGTCCTATACTCTTTTTTTTTAATTATTTTTAATTGTTTAAAGTCCCATCTTTACTTAGGAAATGTTGAGATATTTAGAGTGTGAGGAATGAAAAGAGATTGGTATTTCCTTCATACAAGTTGGATATATATTCGCAAAAATAAAATTTTTATACCAAAATAATCAGGTCATTGGTGCCTCGTGAGTAAACCGATCGAAACAAATCAAAGTTTGTGTAGAGCTTCTAGCAGGTTGTTCTAATTATTAAAGAGAAAAACAGATGCAATTCTCAGTATTAATTTTATAAATATATTTAATATTCCAAAGAAAATATGTAATTCGGTTCTTTTTTTAATTCGGTATTTAAAATTTGTCTTTACTTTACAAAAGTATTACCACTAACTATTATGTCTGTTTATTTTTTATTTTAAACAATTTTAACACAAATTTATATAAACTATTTTCCACCAACGGAATTCTAGACCAAATTTAAGAATAAAATGAAACTGAATGAAAACTAAAACCAATTTTATTTTTATTAAATTATATACGAAGCTGTACATGTTTTTATATTATTTTGAAAAAAAATTAACATAATATAAAAGTAGGCGCTATTTTTATATACAAAAATATTCCTATTAAATAAGGAAAATATATTTATTGTCATGGTTATTGTATGAAGGATTAAGTGTAGGTAAGGAGATAAGAACGAGCTGAAAGTGAGAAATAGGGGTAAGCAGTAAGCTACGTATGAATAACAACGGTCGATTTTAGACGAAAAACTATTATTTATTATAAAATTTACTTATAAATTGTCCTTAAATAATGCCTTCCTAAAAAGTTTTGTATATACGTATACTGTAAAACTTCTTGACTTAAACTATTTGAATGAAATTCACCCTCTTTTCTATTGATAATTTAAAATCGTCTGGTTTTTAAAAAGACAAAATTCTCGATCATGTATTAAAACAACTATGGCATTGTTCCATTCATATTAAATTAATAAACATATATCAAATCCGTCAATTTACATTGACGATAAATACTTTTAATATAAACATAATATATATTAGTCCTAAAATATATTTCCTCTAATATACATCTATATTCTTCTTAAATATTTACTCTTCTCAGGGTTGTGGTGTTGCTCACAGATAGCATAAATATATATCTATTTGTATAAATATATACATGTTTCACATTAAAATCCCTTTTATATATTGTAATGTTTTGGTATAATTTTGTTTATAAATGTTTACAAATAGAATATTTGACTAAAATGTGCTCTCTTGTGATCTTCTAAATCTTTAATCGACTTTTATCTCTTTAAGATGATGTTAACGTTCGACAATACTTTTATAACCTTTCATATTTCACGCTTCTTATAGTTGATATTATTTTCATTAAAAATTGTATCGACAACCGCAACGGTTAACAGGAATGGGTAAACATTTGAACATCAAAAATTATTTATTCTTATTCCCTTTTTCCTCTAAATACTTATGAGTGTAATTTTCAATGAATATTTATTTTGATGGCAATTGTTAAATTCAAAGTGAAATGTAATAGAATTTTTTTTTAATCTGTTTTTGCTTATTAAATAGGTTATGTCACACTATATCGTGACATTAGTATAAGAAAGCTTTTAACCTATGATTATTGCATTAGATTTGACTGTCACTATCACTTATGAGTCTTTAATTATTCTTCATATAAATGTAACATTAGATGTTTTGATGCAGTACAGTAGATTTATCTCATATTAAAATGTAGATGAAAATATATTTATTCGTAACACATCCCAGATTATATAAAGTGTTAACAAATATAGTTGAGATATTTCAGATTATATTGAAACGTAGTGGATTAGAAATAATTTTTGGAAATATAAATTTATTTATTCAAATTATATTACAGATTATATACTTGTTAACAAAAATAGTTGAGATATTTCAGATTATATTAAAAATAGTAGACGAGAGATTCCTCATATAAATATTACATGTTTGAAATTTTATTCTCGATTATAAAAATTGTTAACAAAAAATAGTTCATATATTTCAGATTCCATTTATTAACAAATATAATGTAGAAGAAATTAATTATTGTTCACGATTCTAGACACTTTACAGAGACTGTCAGTAAACAGTTATACAAAATATTATTGTGTAGTGACATAATTGTTTTAATTATAACTTATATACGTAAAATCATGTATTTAACCACAGATTACTTATTATGATGATTGTAGAAGAGATGTTTTCAATGAAATAGATAACTTTCACGATTATATTGTTAGAATACTTGATTGTCGATCAGCGCTCTATATTTATTATGTAAACGTGACAACGTACGTAGTGGAAATAAAAATATAAAAAAACCCAAATAAGAGTTTCATTTAGCAGTTTTTTTATCCATTTTCCGTTTGACTTGGCAAAGTTTTATTATCTGTTATGGAAGTCTTTTTGATTTATAAACACACACACACACACATATCTACACTTGACTAATTTTAGGTTATGGATGAATACACAAAAACAAATTTGGTTAATCGATTTTAGTTAATTTTTAAAATCATAAGATTGCAAGCGAGTTATCATTTGATTTCATTAAAATAGTGAAAGGACCTCTTCTCTCAGTTCTGCAACCAGTTGTAGATGACCTCAAATATACTGAGGAAGAAACGTTAGGTTCTTTCCTATATTAGTCTTGTACAAAACTTCCTTCTTTTCTTCCGTAGAAAATGATAAGAAAGAGATCGAGATAAGAGGGAATTTGATGAAGAATATTCTTCGGACTAGATGAACACTACACGAAAATACCTGCAACTGAAATTAACAGGAGTTATTACAGCATCAAAAAAGTATCTAGAAAAATGTGATATCTATTTTATAAACCTTCAGTGAATTTAATATCAGTTCTAAAAGCATTTAGCATATTACCTTCATACTCTCTAGTTAACACACAAGGAGATTCAATTTGATTTTAGAATGTTACTAATTATAGAACATAAACGTTTGTTGGCCCAAGTGTATACTAGTAGACTTTCCTGTTTGTGTTGGGCCGAGCTTGGATCTGTTTATATTTAGCTAAAACTAAAGGTCATTGTAGACACAATCAAACCTCAAGATTACCTTGAAATAAGTACCTTCTGATCTAAATCGAGTTATTGCCCTAATTGTGACTTGAATTTAATTTTAATCTAAGTCAGAAAAAAGACCTAACGTCTTCAAGTTTTCAACTAACAATAACATTAACATAATCGAGTCGTCTAAAACTTCGCTTGTTTTCTAGTTATAATTTAAATTCAAATTGCTTTCCCGATTGAAACGATAATTGGCATGTTAATTCCGCATATTGAATTCGCGTGATATTTCAAAATCATTTGTGTTTAAATTATAGGCAATTCTACTACTATTATAACTGACAAATTTCAAAATGATGATTGAATGTGAGAGTCAGTTCCACTAAATTGGAATACAAAAGCGAACTTCAGGGAAAATAGTACACATATGCAAATTTCGTGCCAAATGCATTATAAATTATATAAAATCAAGCTATATAAAATACTGAAATGGGAGATGGAATAGATAATTCAGATATCACCAGATGGCTATTTTATTTTATTAGCATTGTAAAAATGTAAATAGAAGTAGGAACTCTATAAATAAGTTGCTACGAAATGCGCTACGAGATCCTACAAGACGTAGCTTAGGCGATTTCCTACTTAAAAATTGAAACGACCACTTTGCATAAGTCCATCTTGAGCACAAGATTAACAGCTGTTAATCTCAAGATACCTATTTCCTCGATGCGGTTAAGTTCTAGTATACTCTAAAATAAGCAAGACTTTCTGCGTTATGAAAATGCATTAGACCGTAATAACGGTAAGTACTACACGAATAGATTCAAAGCATGTAGTGAATTACGTGTAGAGACTTCGCTCACTGGTCAACTTGATGAGGATGGGGGAGGATATTGGAGCCAAAAAGCGTCCGATTGGCCGCCGACCCATCGGCCGGCCCAGATACCGCTGGCGAGACGCCGTAGAGCTGGACCTGCGCGAACTAGAGTCGATCGGCTGGCAGGCGACGACGCAGGACAGATGACGCTGGCGCTCTCTCATGTCGGAGGCCAAGACCCACTTTGGGACGCTGCGCCAACGCAGTAAGTAAGTGAATTACGTAATAAGATACAGTTAGCTCTCAAGCAATATTAAAACATATAGCTTAGAAACATATAGCACACATTTCAATTTTATCGTTCGCGTGGAATTAAAAAAAATATAGCCTATGTTATTCACAGATAAATTAACTTTTTAACGGTGACGGAATTATAAATCGGCCAAGTAGTTTTTGAGTGTATTTCAATACATACAAAAATACAAATCTCTTGATATTAGTATATAGG